CCCTTTGAAGTGTTTCAACGTGGGCATCAAGGTGGGCAGCCAATGCCATTAGTCACTTTTGAAAAATGTGGTCCGTGCTGCTATGACATTTCACTGACTCCTGAGGCTAGGGTAGCCGTGAGCTCCCACACACCATTGGTCCTATGCCATTTCCTGCACTCCTGAGCGGGGCTATAACTAGGGTCGCTGTGAATTCTCCCACAGCCAACCCTACTACAAAATCCTGTACAGTGACTGTGACTGGGAGACGCTCCAAGCTCCCGCTACACTCCCATTAAAAGAAATAAATGGAACAGGAAACTCATACTGATTTAAAATAACATTAAACCAAACACAAGCAAAATTACAAATCCATTTTCTTCCTTGCTGGGGCTGCTTCCTTGAAAACCCTTCATCAGACAAAGGCAATTTCTGCCCGTGGTTGAAGGCACAGCTCCCCCTCTCCCCCCGCCCCCGATCAATGGCCACTGTGGGGAAACCCTTTCAGATTCTCTCATACAGGAATCCTGAGCCATTAATAAATTCAAAGCAGTGAAAGAAGAACTTACCAGGATGCTGAAGAAACTGTAAACCTTAAGAATTTCTCTGTGCTTGGTTGCTCCCTCCTGGGGATGGTGGAAGAAGAGGTGGCATGATGCTGGGTGGGGGGCACAGAGCTATCAATCTATTCTGCTAGCATGCTAGAGGCACTCCAGTCATTAGCCAAAGGAGAAGCCTTCATTACTCAGTGTGGTCATAACTGGATAACCTGGCTGATGAGATGATTTATCATCTCGCTGCCCTGCGACAGGGCAAGGTCAAGCTTCGTTGCTTAGGAAAGCACATTAAATTATTATATATTTACAAACCTGATTTTTAAAAAACCTTTGGTGGTGACTGCTCAGACTCTCACGTCTCAGGAGCTGCACGGTTCTCACAGTGACCTGATTCACTGTTCTTTGACTCCGCACTGACAGTGGTAGAGTAGGGGTTGAGGAGGAGATCATGGAAACAGACTCACTTCTTAACAGGAAGGATATTGCCTTTATGCCCAAATGTGTTGAAGACGGTAGCTGGGGATCCTTAAAAGAGGCACTCACTATTCCTTGAAAATTCGCTAGAGACCCTTAATTCTCCAGAATTACTTACTCTTTCTACGGCCTCAGCCCCACCCTCAGCCCTGTTTATTAAAGGCAGACACCAGAAGGCATCTGTCCATCTATCTACCTGTGCCACACTTGTCACAGTAGTACCTAATTGCCAGGAGATACATATACATTCCCACAAGAGTCATGCGAATACCACAAACATCTGTATAAAGAAAAGGAGGACTTGTGGCACCTTAGAGACTAACAAATTTATTTGAGTATAAGCTTTCGTGAGCTACAGCATTTGAATTATTAAATGAATGACCATCAGTTGTGTTTGCACCTTTTTTGTGTGTGCTTCCTGTGAATATTCGAGTGAATGAATTTACCAGCAGCAATATATGTGGAGACCGTCAATTATAAGAGAATAACGGAGAATATTTGCCGAACATGAATTCTGAATTTGTAAATGAGACTGTTGACACGTAAAATCTGATTCTGGGCAGACTCAGGAAAACATCCCTATTCAGGAATAGTGCTTCGGAAGTTAATGCTTAAATGCTTTCCTGAGTCAGGGCCTCTAAGAGATATGCTCTGCTAGTCATGAACAAAAACAACCTATGTGTCCAATCAAACCTAACTAGAACCACACTATCCAGTTTCCAAAACAAACTGCTCCTGAACAATCTATCGTGAATTATTCTCAGAAATATATTGAGAAAATCATGATTCCCCCACAAATGATTTGCAAGGAGAAAAAGATGTGGCATTCACAGAACAAATTATTTGTTAAGAATTATTTGCCATCAGAGAAAACTTTCTGGGTCTGATGATCCAAAGTCCATTGAAGTCAATTGGGGGGAAGGAGGATGTCTCACCATTAATTTCAATGGGTTTTGGATTGGCCCCTCATGTTATTATTGTTCATTCTCAGCTCACCCCATGCTCTGTTGACTATCACAAACCCGTCCATGCTGACTGCGTACTGTCCTCAGAACTTCGAAATCCACAAATGTGGTCAGCTCAACCTCTGAACTGCTCCCCACCCTACCCCATTCTTCTTAATATCACCCTACAGCTCCTTCTTGCCCCTTGAGAAAGGCTTAGATCCCCTCTTCCATCCATTACTAACACATTCCCTTAGAAATTTCCAGTTATTTACACAATGAGGGGAGCAGATCAGACACTTAGGTGGCCATTTTCGCTATGGGCGTATTAGGGCTGTTGATTAATCACAGTTAACTCACATGATTAACTAAAAAAAAATATTTGCAATTAAAAAAAATTAATTGCACTGTTAAACAATAGAATACCAATTGAAATGTATTAAATATTTTTGGATGTTTTTCTACATTTTCAAATGTATTGATTTCTATTACAACACAGAATACGAAGTGTAAAGTGCTCACTTTATATTATTATTTTTAGTACAAATATTTGCACTGTAAGAATGATAAACAAAAGAAATAGTATTTTTCAATTCACCTTGTGCAAGTACTGTAGTACAATCTCTTTATCGTGAAAATGTAACTTACAAATGTAGATTTTTTTTGTTACATAAGTGCACTCAAAAACAGACGAATGTAAAATTTAGACCCTACAAGTCCACTCAGTCCTACTGCTTGTTCCGCCAATCACTAAGACAAACAAGTTTGTTTACATTTGTGGGAGATACTTCTGCCTGCTTCTTATTTACAATGTCACCTGAAAGCGAGAACCAGGGCCAGCTCTAGGCTTTTTGCCTCCCCAAGCTCCAAGCTGGCGTTGCAAGGTATTTACGTGCCAGATATGCTAAACATTCGTATGCCCCTTCATGATTCGGCCACCATTTCAAAGGACACGCTTCCATGCTGAAGATGCTCGTTAAAAAAAGAACGTGTTAATTAAATTTGTGACTGAACTGCTTGGGGGAGAATTGTATGTCTCCTGTTCTGTTTTACCCGCATTCTGACAAATATTTCATGTTATAGCAGTCTTGGATGATTAACCAGCACATGTTGTTCGTTTTAAGAATACTTTCACTGCAGATTTGACAAAATGCAAAGAAGGTACCAATGTAAGATTTCTAAAAATAGCTACAGCACTTGACCCAAAGTTTAAGAATCTGAAGTGCCTCCCAAAATCTGAGAGGGACGAGGTGTGGAGCATGCTTTCAGAAGTCTTAAAAGAGCAACACTCAGATGCAGAAACTACAAAACCCGAACTACCAAAAATGAAAATCAACCTTCTGCTGGTGCCATTTGACTCAGATGATGAAAATGAACATGCGTTGTCTGCTCTGCTTTGGATCATTATCGAGCAGAACCTGTCATCAGAATGGACGCATGTCCTCTGGAATGGTGGTTGAAGCAGGAAGGGACATATGAATCTTTAGGACATCTGGCATGTAAATATCTTGTGATGCCGGCTACGACAGTGCCATGCGAATGCCTGTTCTCACGTTTAGGTGACATTGTAAACAAGAAGTGGACAGCATTATCTTCTGCAAATTGTAACCAAACTTGTTTGTCTGAGCAATTGGCTGAAGTAGGACTGAGTGGACTTGTAGGCTCTAAAGTTTTACATTGTTTTATTTTTGAATGCAGTAATTTTTTTGTACATACTTCAACATTTGTAAGTTCAACTTTCATGATAAACAGATTGCACTAAAGTGCTTGTATTAGGTGAATTGAAAAATACTATTTTTTTTTATAGTGCAAATATTTGGAATAAAAACTAAAGTGAGCATTGTACACTTTATATTCTGTGTTGTAATTGAAATCAATATATTTGAAAATGTAGAAAACATGCAAAAATTTAAATAATGGTATTCTATTATTGTTTAACAGCACGATTAATCGTGATTAATTTTTTTAATCGCTTGACCCTAGGGTGTATGCATGGGGCATTCTGAGGACAGTAGTTAGTCAAACCTGAGGAATATGGATAATCATTGCACAATTATTGAGAAATAACTATACAGTCGTTATGCAAATCCCTGAGCTCTCATTGTCTAACAATGGCCCTCAGCCTATCAGAATGGAGGAATTTGCATGCTGTATGTAGTTATTAAGACACAACTGTGCAGTCATTATGTAAATCACAGCACCTTAGCCAATCAGAATGCATGGAATTGTATTACTGAGAAATAAGTGTGCAGTTACAGGTCAGTAACTCTACAGAAACCCTGTGATTTGATTGGCTGCAACAACTCAATTTCAGTATAATTTAAATTACCCGAACTTGTTAAAGCTGAAGTGGAAACTGGTTCAATTTAAAATGCCATCTGCAAGTTAGAGGTTAAATCACACTCAATGGTTAAATCATTCAACTGAGTTAATATGTAACAATAACAGACTGATAAAGAAAATTACTCCCTACTGGAAAGGAAATTAAAGGCAACAGTGACTCAAATGCCCAGAAGGGGCCCAGGCAGGGCTGCCAACTGCCAGCACATTTCCCTATAAGCCAAGGTGGCCATAAAATGACGTTGTTGTATTGATAATTGTCCCAAGTTTCTTCAGGGACTAGTCTTGATAAGGCACATATTATTCTCGGTTATTGGCAAGTGCCCCCAAGACTCATAGAAATGAAGCACTGGTCCCCCAGGAATTTGATTTTCTTGGTCAAAGCACTCACTATAAATGAAGGTGACAGCAGCTGCCCCCTCCCATTATGCTCACCATGGAACAGCAGGCTCACTTTCCAATGGAAATCAGAAATGAGCCTTTCTACATATATTATAAACAGATCCAAAGGAAAATCATGGACAGTCTACGTGTGATTGATGCGTGTTCACAGAGATAACCAAGAAGTAGCAGCAGCAGCAGCGTTTATGTAGCACTTTTGGACCCCAATAGCAAACAGACGTATAAGGAGCCCCGGCCCCAATGACTGTTTTGTTATGAGTTTCCAGGCTGTAGTCACCACCCATTATAAACCTGCTGTACTCACCATATTGAATGACTATGGCAGAAGTCTAAAGCAGAGATGATTTGTCGGAAGAACTTCCTGGCTTCTTTTGGCGTTAATCTTCCCTTTTTTACGAGATAGTCGAAGAGTTCCCCACCTGACACATGTTCTAGCACCAAATACCTAGAAAAAAATAAGACAGGCCTTTGTTAGCACATGATCACACAGCTCTCTCTGTCTTTGTCTCTCTCTCTCTCTAGGAATTAAACTTGTGTGAAATACTGTGAAACGAGAGAATTGGAAAATTAGCAGCTGTGAACATTTTTAACAGGGTTGGAGTCAAGCACTGCTTGGACTCCAGGCATTTCAGTGATTCCAAACAATGGAACAAATTCAGTTTTCAGCATCCCCAGTACAGGGATGATATCTGAAAAGCAATACTTCCTCCAAAGATCGAGACGGATAGCGGGCAGCAAATTATATGTGAGCTTCCAGCGTAATTTGGCAGCTGCAAAAGCTAATGTACAGTTAGGCTGCATATGCAGAGACATCAGGTCATTAACCAAGGTGGATGCTGATAGTTCCTTTTTTGAAATAGCTTTGGAGGAACTACACTCACACAACTGTGCTCAGTTCTGGGCACCTCAGAACCAGACAATGTAAACAAACAAGAGGGAATTTGGAGAGCTGTTGAAAATAAACAGGCTGATTTATGAGAAAAGATAAACTACATATGTATAGCATGGGCACCCAGGGAAGGGCTCATTTCTGCAACCCTTACTCATGCTGGATAGGTCTGCTTCACTTGACTAGTCCCATTGACTTCAAGGGGACTACTCTTGCATGTTAGTGTTACATAGAATGAGTAAGGGCTGAAGAATTAGGTCCCAAGAAGGGGATAGGAAAACTGCATGTTATCATTGGCATTCAAGTACTCCAAAAATGTACCAGGCAAAGAAAGGAGAGGAATTATCTAGGGCAGCCCAAAGGGTTATTATGATTAGGGGTAATGAGATGCCACCAATCAAAAGAAAACTTAAGCTAAATATCTGGGAATGTTTCCTAAGAGTGGAGCTCTAGGAGACCATGGAATCGTTTCCCTCGATAAATAATGGCAGCCCCATCAACTGAGTAATTTAAAACTGGACTAGATACAACACCGGAGAGCAAAGAGTAGGTAACAGATCTGCCTTGGCAGGAGGATTGTCCCGAACAGGGTTTCTCAACCTTTTTGATACCAGGCACCAGCTTGCTGCCTGCCTAAACTGTCAGGGAGGTCTCGGGGCTGGCACCGGTCCATGGACCGATCACTGAGAAACACTGGTCTAGAGAAACAATGAGGCCTTTCCCATCTCTACTGTGATTCTGTGCTACTGTACAGTGCTGCCGCCTTCTGTGTACACACAGTACATTAGATATAGGGAAAGTAAATGATGCCAAGATACTGTGTAAAGCTTTTATTGGTATGAGTCTGAGATGACCAAAATTACTATGCAGGCCCTCCCAGACTAGTGACACGAAGAAGTTATTTAATAAAGGACCTTTTGTTCTCTGAATGGATTACTTTGCAGATCTCCCTTTAGGGGCAGACCCGCAGAGGTGGCTTTTATGCCCTTGGCTTCAGAATACTGTAACAGGGGAGCAAGCCCACACTCCCTCAACGGGTAACTGCTTTGAAATGTGTTCCTTTGCCGCATGGAAGGGCATGCGATCTGACAGCAGATATCTGCAGGGGCAGTGAGATGAAGGTAAACCGGACCAGTAAACATCACCATCTTTTGTTGATACCACAAATTTCACAGGAAAACTGTTAAAATAGTACATTTGAGAGAGCTTTTACAATTTTTTAGGGAGTTATTGTTGTATTCCTTTGTGCATAAGGCAAGTCAGTGTTAGTTCCAGTACCCTTAGTCCAACCAAACAGGTCTTGGAAGGAGAGGAAAAGAACAAAATTACTTCAAGACTGAATACTGTCCTTTCAGTGCCTCAGAATGGTATGATTTGGGAGGGAAACTCCAAATTTGGGGGGAAAAAGAAAAATATTCTTGTGCATTTTTAAGTGGTCCTTTTTGAAGCTATTCAGAGTATTTGAATATCAGGAGTAGCCCTGGAGAGAATAAAGATAGTCCAGTAGTTAGGGCAGCAGCTGTAGATTTGGGAGACCTGGGGTAAATCCCTGCTCCTGTGTAACCCTGGGCAAATCACTTAGACTTAAATGGATAAAGAGTTTTATAACCAGTGTTGTGCCTTTGGATATGACAGCTGGTAAGGCAGAACTGAGGTTATGGAATGAAAGGTTACACGCAGTCAGACACACTGAAATAGATCTGGACCCCCAGGAGGACTTTCCCAGAGGGGTCGATACAGACAGGTCAGTGTGGCAATGCCTGAACCACCTGCACATGCAAACTGGCAGATTGAAGACTAATAAGATCCAGTGAGGGTACTCTCATGACATCAGTGTATGCGAGTGCAGTAAGGTGCAGACCATGGAGCATTTGCTTACTCTTTGGGGAGACGTATGAAGAAGGACCTCGCTGCAGCAGCAGAAAGAGCCATTGCTTGTGCACGGTTCTGGGAAAACCTCTAGTGTGTGATAAGGACACGAGAAGATGATGATTTAGACTCTGTCTGTGTCAGTGGATGATACTTCCCTGCCTCGCAGGGGGGTTGTGTGGATAAACACAGTAAAAGATTGTGGGGTGTTCAGATACTACTGTAAAGGGGGGCGGAATAGGTACTTCACAGTGACAGAGAGCTCATGGGGAAAAGTTGGAAAACTTTTTGCTTAAATCAAAATTAGAAAAATTCCGACTGAGCTCTCTAGTGCTTGTTGAAACGCCACGAGAAAAGTTCATGGAAATGTTGTCAATTCTTTTTTTCATTAAGATCAAGAATCAGATGAAAATTTGTGTTGAAACATCAAATTTTCAAAAATTGTGACTGGCTCTAATCCAGGCAGAGGTGTTTTTAGTGAGCAAAGTGCCAGTGAGACCATCATAAAAGTATGATAAAACTCAGTGGACCCTATAGCGATCACCCCTGTCTGTATGGTAGAGATGTTACCGATATAGGACCAGGCACGCTATCCTGCTCTATTGCTGTGGCACTGTTACGTGATGCCAAGAGAGAAAAGACAGCCCACAGCTCCCTAGCTGGGGATTCTCCTGGCTTGGGGAAGTCCTGAGTGGTCATCCAGCTAACACAGGTGGTTCCTATGCCACCCCTCCTGCAGCCTCTGGTGTAGGGGCATATCAGGATGTGGGACAAGAAGTGGCCTGCCAGTGATCTCCATCCGATGCATAGTCCCTTGGAGACTGAATTTGGATGTCTGGGCCTTTTAAGTCTCAGTGGTCCTGCGCTACCCAGACCTTGGCAGCAAGGCATGTTGGGAAAGAGGATTCCCTATATAAATCATTCTCTTCCTTGTACCAGAGATTGACCTGGTCTAGTCTCTCCTATGGCAGACCCAAAATTGGCCTTGGGATCAAATGTAACTGGCTCTCTGACTGCTCTTCCTTTCTGCTGTGCCCAGAAGAAGAAGGACATAGCAGAGAATCTGGCTCAAAGATTTCAGACATAGTACAGATCAATAGAAAACTTTTTCCAAGGTGGTATAAAGATGTTTATATGCACAAGCCTGCAGACCCCCCTCTACACAAGTTTCAAATGCAGTTTCAGAAAATTACAGGCTCAGCATTTCTGTCACCCTCAGCAGGAACTGCAAAGCAATTTATTTTCATCAACTTTGTCTTATTAAAAATACTCATCCAAAGTGCACCAACATGCCATATGATAAATAAAACAAATGGAAATACAAAGTGCATTTACAAAGGTATTTATTTTTGTTTACAACCCAGAAGCACCAGATATAATAATGGAAACAAATGGGGGAAACATCTGAAAAAGATTTGTGCCTGAGATGAGTCGAAGAACAAGAAAGAAGCACAGAGAGACTGTATTCTGATCTGACAGATCCCCTCATGTGACAAGAGCAAGGAGGGTGACAAATACATTCCCAAATGGTTAAGTGTAAGAAATAAATGCTGCAAGGATTATTCTACAAGTGCAGCATGGTTAACGTTACATCTAGAAGTTCATAGTTCCGATTTGCTGCTGTACCAGGAAGAGTCACCAACCAACCCTATTCCCTGCAATGTAACTGTTTATTTTTAGGATCACTCCCAGCTAGGAGATTTTTGATTAAGCAAGGGCACAGTTCAACATCTACCTCCAGCTCTGTGCAAGACAATGTTTTGTTATTTTATGTGGCATGGGAGCAGTACACATGATGTTTTGAATCAGGCTGGGGATAGGGGAATATAAGCCCATTGGGGCAAGGCTTGTCTTTTTATTCTGTGTTTGTACATGCCTAGCACTTTGGGGTCCTGGTCCATGTCTAGGGTTCTGAGGTACTACAACAATACATAAAATAATAAATAATAATAATTATTTTCCAAGTGTTGCAAGTGGATTGCACAATTGTTAATTGTTTTGATTAGTGCACTATAGCTTAGATGGTCCATGCTGTACATATATATAAAAAGAGAACCCTATTCTCAAAAGCTTACCGTCTAGACAGAGAAGGAAGACAAAGGAAAGAGTATTGTCCCTTTTAACAGATGGGGAACTGAGGAATGGAGAGACTCAGGGCTTGTCTCCACTTTCCAGGGGATCCACTTAGCGGGTCTAATGAAGACCTGCTAAATCGACCGCCAATCGCTCTCCCATCGACTCCGGTACTCAACTGGAATGAGAAGCATAAGGTAAGTCGATGGGACCCGTCAACCCAGCACAGTGTAGACACCGCAAAAGGTCAACCTAAGGTACGTCCACCCCAGCTACGTTATTCACATAGCTGGAATTGCGTAACTTAGGTCGACTGAGCCCCGTAGTGTAGACCTGCCCTCTCAGTGACTTTCCCTGAGTCAAACAGTGAGTCCACAAGACCAGCCATCAACTTGCTCTACAGCCCTCGATGACTTTAATAGAAAGCAGCGGCACTGGAACCTTGCCTGACTGTTTGCTGATTCAGGGAGCAGGTGAGCAACAGAATATACATAGCTTGGAAAAATGGACAAGGAAAGGGAGATTTTCCTGCCGTTCCTCCCCCATTCTGCCCCTTCCTGACAATGATATTACCTCATGGTACCATTTTGCTCCTGCAGCTGTTCCCAGAAACT